CCGCTCCAGTATTCTTGCCTGGAGAATCTCTTGGACAGAGAAGCCTGGTGGGCTGCAGTCCATGGGGTTGCAGAGTTGGACACAACTGAGTGACTCACACACTCACACACACACACACACTCACACCCGCCCACTCACACACATACACACTCACACACACTCATATACATACCCACCTACACACACACTCACACACACACACACACACACTCACACACACACTCACATCCGCCCACTCACACACACATACACACTCACACACACACACACTCACACCCGCCCACTCGCACACACATACACACTCACACACACACACACACTCACTCACACACACACTCACATACACATGCACACACAGAGTCAGAGTTTCACCTTCTCCAGGAAGCTCTCCCTGGACACCTGCCGCCCCTAACCAGGGGTGATTCTTTCTCCTCTGCTCTGGACTTCTGCAACATTATTGGGTACTATGTTGGTATCCAATTATAAACTTTGACTTCTTACTATTTATCTTATGTGTTTGGAGTTTGTTTCTTCATGGAGACATAATCTCTTTGAAGACAAAAATCACATTTTAGATCTCTTTCTATTGTCCACAGATTATCCAAAATCTTTTGCACATGAGTTATGCACAATAAATCCATATATAAGACCTACTGGATACCAGAAAGAGAGTGCTTAAGATAATAACTTGTCAGCATCTAAGGGCTGGTTTGCTTTCATAAGAGAACTGGAGGATAGATTCACTTCAGTTTTAAGAAGCAGTACAGAGATCAGGGTGGATGGGTAGCTTCCTAACTTTGCATAGCAGTGAAATTCTGCCTTTAAAAGCAATCTTCATAGGCGCCCAACACGCGAAGCTGGCAGAGGCAGACTAGTTCTGACTGCCCTGGAGTGTGGCTGCTCTCTGCTCACCACCCCCCTCCACGGCAGCTTGGAGGAAATCTTGGGGATGGAGTATTATATCTTGAAAACCACAGGGAACGATCCATCTTGTCTTACTTCACATAAGCAGCATTTACTAACTTGGGTGCTGAAAGAAGAGACTGTATGCACTCAATCTTACTGAAAACATATTTGCTTTGTGTTTATAAAATGGCAATTAAGCAACTTTCTTCTCTTTGTTTCACACAAATTTGGTTTTGTTTTTTTCCGTTAGCCTTGTTCATGCCTTATTCTCCTGAGAAGATGCTTCTGCCAGAGCCCTCACTGCGTTTGGTTAAACAATTGTCCATTCCTCTGTTGTCCCCATTAAAGAGGCAGCTCCTTGAGAGTAGACACTGCCTTATCCATCTTCTCATCTTCAGTCTTAACAGGGTATCTGGTGTGCAGTAGGTGTTCAGTAACTGATCTCCCAAGGGACCGGAGTCTCTAGCTACTCAGCCCTCTCTCAGTGAGCCAGGCCCAGCTTGTGGCCTCTGTGGCTGATCCACGTGGACTCTAGGTGTGGCCTGTCTTTCTCCTGCTTCACAGCCTAAGGCTGAGCACTTACCCTGCCCTCCCCTCCCCTGCTCCCCTCTTCCCCTGCCTGACTGTCACGGGCTCCAGGAATATTAGTTAATTTTAATATTAGCCTAAGAAAGATTAATTAGGAAGGCACATTTGCTCTTAAAAGTGTAATTAATTCCAAAGCCAAATAGAGGAGAGTTATGGATTATCTGCTTTGCTGCTGCCTTCAAGCAGTGTGGAGAATCAAGAGTTGACTAGATGAGCAAAGAATAATCATTTAAGTGTCAGTGCTGTGTAGACCAAACTCCAGATGGCTCCTTGTGAAGTAGGCTCATGGCTGAGACAAAAGATTTAGGCTGAAGTAACGCTCTCATACACTTGCAAACCACATGTCTTTCTCTCTAGTCCTCCCGCAAACTGGCTTGGTCCAGTCTGAATCAACTCTTTTCTGGACTATTGTAATAACTTCCCCAAGAGGCCTCCAGACTCTGCCCTACCAACTCATTCTCTACTCAGACTCAAACTGAAATTGTATCAAATGCATAAATGCATTGTCCTCAACCCAGTGTCAAACATAGTCATGCCATGTGCTGCTTGAGAACTTCCAAATGTGCGTAGAGGTGAAGGGTTAACTCCTTGGCATGGGCCACAGAGATCTTCACAAATTGGCCCAACCTCTCCACCAGGCTCATTTCCTTCTTGCTCACCACATCCCAGAATGATGGTCCCCAGCTCTCTTTTTATAGGGCAAACCATGGCTTATTCTCTGGTGGCTCAGACAGTAAAGCATCTGTCTACAATGCTGGAGACCTGGTTTTGATCCTTGGGTCGGGAAGATTCCCTGGAGAAGGAAACAGCAACCCACTCCAGGACTCTTGCCTAGAAAATCCCATGGATGGAGGAGCCTGCTGCAGGCTACTGTCCATGGGGTCACAAAGAGTTGGACACGACTGAGCGACTTCACTTTCACTATGGCTTATTCTAGAAGCCTCAGCCCAGATAAAACTTTCAGCCCTTAGAAACTTCCAATTCTGGGCTCCTGGAGCACTCTGTTAACAGTTTATCTTATTTTCTTGCAATTATTTGCTTTCTTTTCTCTTTAAGGGAATGAGCTCCTTAAAAGAAGGACTGTGGGTTTTGCATCTTTGTATTTTCTCTTCTCTGTCTCCCTAATTTAGGCCAAACATAAAGTTTATCCCATAGGAGATGACCAATAAATATTTGTTGAAAGAAATTGGTCAGTTCATAATTTCAATAGTGATGCCAACCAGATTAGCTCACTGAAACAAACTTCCTCCTTTGTCCCTGAGTCAATCGTAAGTGCAGCTTGAAATATCTGAGAAAATGCCTCAGTTCTCCACTTCCTTGTACCTGCCTAGCTGAGGCTCAGAGGCAGGTGGCTTTGGGAGGAAAGTTGGGAGAGAATGGCAAGTGATGCAGACTTCAGCCTGACAGCTGCTGATCCTTGCTTTAGTTGATTTCCCCCTTTGCAAATGGTTATTGGCAATTGAAACTGCATATCTACTCTCTGCTCCCCTATGTAAATTGCATTTACATTTAAATTGTGCATTCTTCCAAAGGATGGGGTTAGTAAATAACATCAGATTAAGCTTGAGGAGAGGAAATTGTGCCCCATGTCAAACCTGAGACTGAAGTGACATCTGGCTTTTACTATTTCCGTTATTTCAGTTTAGTAACAGCATGTGGCATTAAGGGAAAAGAAATTGGATCTACATTTTAATGAAAGGAGGAAGCTCTCAGGGTTTAGATACCTTATCATGTTGAATACCTAGTCGATTGGCAATTAAAACTTGTTTCCCTGGAGAAATGGAATAAAACATCTTTGCAGCCATGGAGAGAATAAAACAAAAAACAAGCTAATGACCAGGACTTCACAGATAAAACCAAGGGAAATGGGTGATGTAAACATCAAAATCAAATATTTCAGGATGTCGCAGAATACAGGAATTTTTAAACAGAATAACACTGAGAATAGAATCATGCATATGCTTCAGACAGAATGGTTTGTGAATAATAGGGGTATTAACCCAATCATATCATCTCAGTAAATTCTTTGTCAACCTAACTTGTTTTAAGTTCCAGAGGTCTTACCAAGAAAATATTTTAGAAATGCTAGTTTCATCCCAAGAGTCTAACTGTTTAAATGGAAGCAGTTCCACCTGCTGGCTGCTTTCTTTGTTTAAAGCAATTCTGGGAAATGTAAATAAAATGATTGTGCATCCTAATAACCCAAGCCTATCATTTATTTGCTTTGATGTGAAACAAATGTGTCAATTTTCAAAGTCTTTGTTTGGTAAACCCAGTGTTCAGATGTTGGCAAATGTTTGCACTGCATGTTTGTTTGGAAACTGATGCTTTATTCACAGACTCGGAAGCCAGAGCCCTTGGAACCGCAGTCTGGGATCCCGCAGTGAGACTCCCTGACCATGCACACAGAGATGTTCAGTCCTTTCCCAGAATCTGCAAAGTGTTGACGTGACAGAATCCCATGGGCAAGTGTAAGTGGGATGGAGACTTCTAAGAAAGACACTGCTCGTAGAAACTTTCTGAGCATAGGGCTCATGAAAAATCAAAACAACAGAAAACATCTGTATACTACTTACTATGTGCCAAGCACTTCGTATGCCAAGCACTCAGTGAATCCACGTAACAGCCCTTTGAGGTAGGTACCACTGTCATCTGCATTACAGATGAAGGAATGGAGACACAGTGAGGTTAGTAACTTACCCCACCCAGGGTCACTCGGCTGGTAAGACGCAGAACTGGAATTTTACTCTGGCCAGGCTGGCTCCACTGTTCTCTTAAGCTCTCCCAGTGGTTTCCTCCTACCCCTGGTATTTAATGAAGGCATTGTGTTTTCACGAAGTTATATTTTGTCTTGCATAATTATTTTTAAAGTCTCAGCAGTATTTTTTGAAATACTTGAGCTAATAGTCTGAGGGTTCTTTCTTAAACAAAATTAAGCAACAACAACAAAAACTAGCTGCTGCAATATGGATAATAAATAATATCTGTGCCAGAGGTCTTTCAGGAGTGTGCAGAGGATGAAATGAGATGATATGAGAGTGCTTTGCAAGGCCAAAACCATCAAAGTTCTGAAACATTGTTTATTAAAATACTGACTCTTTTTCCTACATGAGCAGTTCCTTAACAAGTTAATATGAGTTCCTTCTACCTTCCTATTTTCCCTAGAGTATATAACCAAATTACCTATCCACTACTGTGAGTCTTTTGATGATGGCCTGGACACTCGAGTCTGTTTGATCTCTCCTTTATCTTCCCGATTTCTTAGCACTATTTGGTTTGGTAACAGATCCTTCTCACTTCCTATGCGTGATAGTCTCTCTGCATCCCTTGACATTTTACCATGGCAGTTGGCCTATGAAGTTGACCAGTGCCTCCTTCTGTTTGAACTCAAGTTAAATTCATCATCTGACTTTCACATCAGTCTGTTGCCAGGGGGATTTCTGATGTCACATGTCAGTTTTATGATTACCATAATACTTAACAGGCAAAAAGTGATTGGTTGCTAGTGGAAATCCTTGGGTGAAACTCACCCAGCTTTAGTAACCATCCCAACTTCATAGACTTTAGATAACCATGTAAACAGGTAAGTGAATTAATCATTCAACTGGATTCTATTTGAATTTTTCTTCCATATGTGTGTTCCCTTTAAGCAATTGTCTACTGTCACTTGAAATTGATGAGGGCTCTTTTGGAGGTTATTTTTGGGAAGGTGGTGAAACGACAGACAGCTGTTCTTGGGAACAAGTGTCATAGGATCTGCCCAAGCTAGCTTCCAGTTTAAAAAATATCTGAGGTGCATCATTCTTTTCCTTCATAACATTAGGTCATTTACTAGTGGCCTTTAAAGTGTCGATTCAGCTTTCCAAATACATAGGAAAGAAGGAAACTTACATTTACCAAGTACCTACTATGTGCCAGAATGTGACTCTGGCCAAAGTATAGCTTTAAGGTGGAGAACTGGTAAATGAGGAATTATTGAACAATCCTGTTATACTTGACAATTCACAGCTTTTTCTAGCTTATATACAATGTTCTTCCTAATTGGACATTGATTGATCACCAATAAAGTTCAAAGTCATTACTTAAAATTGGTCCAGATCCTGATATGCTGAGTAATAGACAACTTCAAGACATGAAGTTGTTTTCACTGCAATATTAAGAAGAACATAATAGAAATGAGGTATAATAAATAAAGATTTGACAAATGCATCTGTCTTTTCAGAGTTTTATTAAGTAGGTGGAAGGTCAGTTTTAGGGGATACAGGGATCAACGAAATAAAACTGATTGAACCTGAGGTTGTGCAGATTTGGAAAGCCATATCAAGACTTGCCTAAATCTATATAAATCAATTTGTGTGCCAGAGAGTGAATAGCTGACTTTTTTTCAAATGCCAATTCAGCAATTACAAAGTCTGCTGGCGGTTAATTAAAAACTACCGTCTCATTATGTTCAGAGTTAAATTACAAGTGTGAAAAGAGGACTGTCTGCAATAACTGAATGCTCTGTACTCTCTATGCTCTCGTCAGGAGGAGGGCAGGGATAAATAACTTTTATTTAACGCACTAAAAAATCTCTCTCAGCTCTTTCATATTTAATTAACTTGTCTTCTCAGAGCTTGTGTCTTACTCAGAGCTCCTAAGCAGTAATCGAAATATTTGTTCATTTTGTGTAGAAGATTTTTCTTACATTAGTTGAGTAGAAAAGTTAGAAATAATTGAACCCTGAAGACTGGGGGAAGTGACAACCTACCAAAGCTTTGCATTGAGGCCACTAAACCCAGAAGAGATTGGTGACAGAAAAACAGCAGAAAATGGTGGGTTTTGCTTTATTGACTATGCATCTCCACAACTGGGGAGCTGGGACTGTAAACACTTTTTGGACTGGTAAAGTTTTAGTTCTCATTTATAGGTCTCATTTATAACTTAATGTTTTGCTATCTTAAGGATTCAACTGTCAGAAAAGAGGCCAAACTTTTGTCACCATGGTGGAGGTGAAGTGTCTGAGTGATGACCAATTGCAGAATGAACTCGACAAACTCGGATTTTCACCTGGCCCAATACTACGTATGTATGTGGCAATTATTAGAGACCGCTCAATGATTACTTGTGAGCTAACTCCAAAGGCTGAAAATTATTTGTAGTGGAAGGAACATATGCAATAAAAAAGATTAAAACAGAAATAGGAAAAAATTTAAAAACCCAGAAAACCATATAGAAGGAAGAGACCAGTTCTTATTCACAGACTAGTGAAGGGAAAGTATTGGTATTTTACAATCATGAGAAGCTAGTTACTCTTGATTATATCACCCTGGGCTCTTTTTACATTTCTAGTGCGTGTACCATGTTAACTGTTTATGTACTTTCCCATATTTCCCATAAATAGGATGTACAACTTTGTCAGTCTTGTTCTCCAATGTCCACAATACCTAACTCTGTGGCCAGTCCACAGAAGCCCCACCTTAAGTGTTGGTGGAAGGAAAGGAGTGAGTTCAGTAGGTATGGGGTCCACCTTATTGTAAAAGTCACAATTTCCCAATAATGTAAGAATAAAAATCTAAGTCGTGTAATATTTTGAATACAGTGAGATCACATACACAGAGTGACTAAACTGCTCTCCACATTCTTTCTCAGCTTCCACCAGAAAAGTGTATGAAAAGAAGCTAGCGCAATTGTTGGTCTCAACTTCCTGTGCACCACCCAAGAAGAATGGACCCAGAGAACTGGACAGAGCTCAGAACAATGATGACAGTGAAGGTACCATCAGAATCCATATTTCCCATAAATAGGATGTACAACTTTGTCAGTCTTGTTCTCCAATGTCCACAATACCTAACTCTGTGGCCAGTCCACAGAAGCCCCACCTTAAGTGTTGGTGGAAGGAAAGGAGTGGGTTCAGTAGGTATGGGGTCCACCTTATTGTAAAAGTCACAATTTCCCAATAATGTAAGAATAAAAATCTAAGTTGTGTAATATTTTGAATACAGTGAGATCACATACACAGAGTGACTAAACTGCTCTCCACATTCTTTCTCAGCTTCCACCAGAAAAGTGTATGAAAAGAAGCTAGCGCAATTGTTGGTCTCAACTTCCTGTGCACCACCCAAGAAGAATGGACCCAGAGAACTGGACAGAGCTCAGAACAATGATGACAGTGAAGGTACCATCAGAAACTGAGCTGTAGATAACAGCTATGCGCTTATTCACACCTTGTACGGTACGATTTATGCAGCCTTAAATGATATGCCAGGTGACCTGTGAAATATCCCTGTGGCCTGTTTGCACACAGAGCCAAAAAAATAGGCCCCTCGGCTACAAAAGGAATCTATTAACTCCATATCTACATTCAGGCCAGTGACTCAGTGAGTGGACTGTTGGAGAAAGGACTGATCAATTTGCACATTCTGTTACTAGTCAGAACCAACTCTGTATTTGATTTCTAAAACCAGAAGTTCCGACAGGTAATTTCCTAGTCTCCTTTGAGGTCTCAACCTCTGCTTTGCCTCAAGCAATAAATTTGATGATTATTTTCTTCAGACTAAATGATTACACGCCCATTCAGACGTAGGAACCAGATTCACCACCCCAAAGTCCTCCTGTGCCTACTGCTTTCCTGACTCCATGCGGGTTGACCACAGCTGGTCTCTTCCAGGCCCCAGGGCGGGCAGGGAGTGGTGAACTCTGGGATCCGTGGTTTTCCTTTTCAGGGCCCCGCCCCGTGTGTACAGTTCTCTTGAGGGAGTGTCCAGTTCAGGCTCTGAGGGGGTGGGCTTTAAGATTCCCACAGCATTCGGAGGCTTTTTTTGTTCAATAGACATTTATTAGGAGTCCTATGTGAGCCACAGTAAAATGACAGGAACTATCATTTATTGAAGGCCATCAGTGCATTTCTGGCCTAATATACATTATCTCATTTATCCTTTACAATACTTAGGTGAGGTTCAGAGAGGCCAAGTAACTGGCTTAACATATAGCTAGGAAGTGGCCCCAGAAAACCAGCTCCCAGTAGAATGTGCCACGAAGAGCAAGGCCCATCTGTCTTCATTATCACTACATGTCCAGGTCCTGGAACAATACTGCACACACAGCAGGAAGTCACTCGACACTTTTCTCATACTTTCCATTATGAGGATGAACATATGACATTTTTGTCCATGTCTGACATACCAAAAATGGCTATTTCATATAGTTCAGATTAAGAACTTGACAAACAACGTAAATACCTGGGGCCCTGAAGAATCCCCTGGGATGCCCGGTGTTAATGGTGGGGCAGACCCTGAGGCTTTCCTGAGCCTGGCGTGACCTCATCTGGAAATGGCAGTGGAGTTTGGGGACAGACCTCACTGACCCCTGAGCAGAGCCGTTAGCATGGGGGTCCCTCAGGACAAATGGCAGAGTATTTCTGGAGCTGGGATGTGTTCAGACTCTTGACCCAGATCTGGGGCTGCCTCTGTTCCCTGCCAGAGACAGGAGCTGAAGGGACCTGACCAGCCCTCTGATAAATGCAGCGGCAGCCTGGAAGATTCCAGAGAGGAAGGCTTGTACGCTCACTGCTCAGGACTGCCCAGGACTGCAGGTCAGAGCTACACAACCAAGCTGTTGTGGTCTCAAGCCAAGCCATGCTGGTTCTCAGCAGGCAGATTCTCCCCAGAGCTGCATTCATGTGAGGTCTAGGAGGGAGCTGGACCTTCGGATTGCGAGCTCTTCTATTGCTTTACTGTCCACCCAACACTAGCCAGCTGCCGGCCATCAGGTCAGAGTAAAAGCTCTGGTTCAGTCCTACACTTGTAATGCAAGAGTCAATGGCCGGTGGGTAGGACAAGTAGCAAACCTGCTTCTCAAGGTCAGGTCTGAATTAGACACTTGAATCTGCCCACTGGAGGAGTTTCATAGACCCTGGTGGCGTTAGAATGCAGGAGTTGTCATGGAATTCGTGAGGTCTTGTGGACATTCGGCCTTGGGCGTTTCACAGAAACACGCAGTCCTGGGGTGGGGTTGTAGTGGAGGGGGGAGGGCCGCACCAGACCTGAGGCTGAGCTTTAGGTCGTCCAAACAATGAGTGGGTTCGGTTCTTCTCCTTCTCACTCACTGTGCTGGCATTCGGGATCTAACCTCTTCAGGGGCCTCCCTGGTGGCTCAGAGGGTGAAGCATCTGCCTGCAGTGCAGGAGACCCGTGTTCCATTCCTGGGTGGGGAGATCCCCTGGAGAAGGAAATGGCAACCCACTCCAGTACTCTTACCTGGAAAACCCCACGGACAGGGAAGTCTAGTGTGCTACAGTCCGTGGCGTCGCAAAGAATGACATACAACTGAGTGATTTCATTTTCACTTTCACTTTCACTTTCCACAACCTTTTCAAACTTCCCGGATATTTTTGACTAGGGGGACTCGTGTAAAATCCTCTGCAAGAAAACTTCTGCTTCATGTCCAATAGCACACAGTTGCTCCAAGTTGATCAAAACAATTCTCCACCAACTGAAGCCGAGAGTTGATTAACAACCACCTTTTCTGCTCATGGCGGTTCCCCTGATTTTAAAGCCTTTTTAGCACAGATCGGGCCTTCCCTCCCCTGGGTGCTCCTTTGAATAGGGGACAAATTCTGCCCTGTCTTGAGGATCAGAGGATGCATGAGGCTTACAGCCACTTTGAAGTGGCAAAGACGAGACCAAAAACATGCCCAGATGAGCAGCCAGCTCCGGCTTAGCAACGTGTTTCTCTGAGAGGCACACAAAGACGACCGCAGCCTCCCAGGGAGGAGCCCGCACCGTGCTCCCAGGGGAAGGCTGGTGTGTTCCACAAAGGCCAATGCAGAATCTGCCCTCAGAAGGCAAAATGAATTTTCTTCCCCTCACAAGAGTCTTTTGCCCTGTGATTGAGAGGATTCACTCCTGTGATTGGTGTGTATTCCCTTTGCTAGCTTGTATATTCTCATGGCTGATTTTCCTTTTGTTTCCCATGATTCAGAGTTTAATGCCACTATCGTTTTGAAACGAAATATCACACCCTCATCAGAAAAAAACAAGGCACCCAAAAATGTATGTACAATTCTAATGCATAAATACTTTTACACATATATTAAATATAGGAAAGAGCACTTTGCATGTGTCTTAGGAAAGGAAATAGCTAGTCTGCTATACTTGGTTATAATGGTAAAATCCTAGTTTTTTTAAAAGCTCATGTTAATGCAGGTTTCTGTTTTGTGACACTATTTCCACATCCCGGCACAGGACGCAGAGTAACAGTGTCCTCCCCCCTTCCTGAATAGCCACCCTCGCCCCCTCCAGCTGTCGTCCCCTGTCTCTCCTCTCGCCCGTGGTCACACACGCGCCCACAGTGAGTGTGGGGTAAGTGTGAGTTCCCGTGCCCTTCTCTCTCTCTGTCTCCTGGACGCCGAGGTCTGCCCTCCACCCTCATCACCACTGAGGCAAGCAGCCGGTTGTGTGGGAGTCCCAGGCTTGGGGAAGCCCCGCTGGTTTGGCAGCCTTGCCTTTCCACTTGCTGGTTGTGAGACTCCAACACTCCCCGAGTGCAGCTTGGTCGCTGTGCGGCTCACACTGGGCGACTGGGAAGGGAAAGGCTCTTAGCCTTGGACCTGGAGCACCGTTAGACCACGTAATGAACTCCAGGTCACCAACTCTAGAGACACTTTCTCAGCCTTCTGACCACTGCCCCTCCTTATTTAGAGACATCTGTTTCCTTTAGTTCAGTTCAGTTCAGTCGCTCAGTCGTGTCCAACTCTTTGCGACCCCATGTATCACAGCATGCCAGGACTCCCTGCCTATCACCAACTCCCAGAGTTTACCCGAACTCATGTCCTTTGAGTTTTTCATGCCATCCAACCACCTCATTCTCTGTTGTCCCCTTTTCCTGCCCTCAATCTTTCCCAGCATCAGGGTCTTTTCAAATGGGTCAGCTCTTTGCATTAGGTGGCCAAACTATTAGAGTTTCTGTTTCAATATCAGTCCTTCCAATGAACACCTAGGACTGATCTCCTTTAGGATGGACTGGTTGGATTTCCTTGCAGTCCAAGGGACTCTCAAGAGTCTTCTCCAACACCACAGTTCAAAAGCATCAATTCCTCGGTGCTCAGCATTCTTTATAGTCCAAAGCTCATATCCATCCATGACTACTGGAATAAACCATAGCCGTTACTAGACGGACCTTTGTTGACAAAGTGATGTCTCTGCTTTTTAATATGCTATCTAGATTGGTCATAACTTTTCTTCCAAGGACTAAGTGTCTTTTAATTTCATGGCTGCAATCACCATCTGCAGTGATTTTGGAGCCCAGAAAAATAAAGTCAGCCACTGTTTCCACTGTTTCCCCATCTATTTGCCATGAAGTGATGGGACCAGATGCCATGATCTTAGTTTTCTGAATGTTGAGCCTTAAGCCAACTTTTTCACTCTCCTCTTTCACTTTCAGCAAGAGGGTCTTTAGTTCTTTGCTTTCTGCCATCAGGGTGGTGTCATCTGCATATCTGAGGTTATTGATATTTCTCCTGGCAATCTTGATTCCAGCTTGTGCTTCCTCCAGC